GATTTTGGTATTAAAATTAAATGATCGGAGTAGACATTTGTAGGTCCTGTATTACCCAATTGGGATAGTTTCAATAGTTATAATGAACCAATAATACATACTACGATAATTTTTATCAGTTCAATATCCTTATACTAGTATTTTCGCACCTTCCGTATGTTCTTTCGACCAAATGGTACAACGCACTAACGAGTAACAACCCTTTGTTCTAACATTTGTACGGACGACTGAACTTTCCCTAAAGTAACGCATTCTGTAATTGCACAAGAACAGAGGATTTACTTTTAAACATCAATATCATGGTGTTTTGGTTACATCTGTATGAACTTCTAAGCGAGAAATATCAAAGAAAACGCACTTTGAAATGAAATCTATATCATACTAGCTGACCCGGCAAACTTCGCATCGCCTCTAATTTCTTGTTCTCACCTTTTAAACCTAACCTGGACTTTTAATGGACAAATAATTGAAGACCAAAATTAACAAAATCAGTCCTACTTACCGTTATAAAGTTTTAGCGAGACTAACGAATAGTAATTCATTTTTATATAACTACCATCGGACCCGCCAGACGTTGTCCTGCATATCCACTTGAATGTATAAACAAAAATTCATTCAAATTACCTCTAGTACAGCCGTTAAGATAAATAATCTAGTCATCGACTGCAACGCCATCTGCTGGGCTGATTTGTGAATCTAAACCATCCAAGGCGCCAATCAAACGCGTACAATAAAATTCATTTAAATCGGTCAAACTGTTTAGGAGGAATTGAATGATATACACACGTACAGCAGAATTATATATATAAAGATATAATAAAACTGTAGAAGTGTACATTCTGTACATTGTTAATATTACAAAATAAAAAGTAGGGGGTGTTACAAGATAGACACCGAACCCCAAAATGTGATTAAAAAAATGATTGTCTGTATGTCTGTATGTTCACGCATGCAGCAAAAACTACCAGTCTGATTTCGATGAAACTTGGTATGATTACATTTTAATATACAAGGAACAGCACCGGGTACTTTTTAATCCGAAAAAGTATAATATACACGAAAATAGCAAGACACGATTACTGTACCAAACGCAAATATAAGGTTGTCGAATGTTAGGTTTCCCGTAGGCTGAATGGATCGATGAAATTTGGAACAGACGTAGATTATGGTCTGACTCATAGACTACGTTTTATCCACGGGAATGCGGGCGAAGCCGCTGATAGAAGCTAGTACATAAATAAATAAAAGTCATCCAGTTTTAAATTCCAAGTAACAATGTGAACTTTAATTTCATTGAACTCTCTTGCATCCTCGTGTGCCATCGAATGTGTGGTGGCAGTGGTGGCGTGAAATGCTTTTCAATCTTTTATAATATTCTCTACTTATTAAGTGGGTTACTGAAAAATTGTCTTTAATTTATATCATTTATCAATACACCGTCTAAAGACCATATTCTATTGTGGATTATTCTCGGGCCCAGATATTATTTAAATCTATCAGAAAGCAAGAAAAAGGTTTAGTGACGTTCCAAAAAAAAAAATTACTGAATTTGAACATAGTATGTATTTCAGTAATCAAATCAATTAATGACATCATACAAACATACCAATCAGCGTCGCTGATCTTTGTGACCTTTTTAAGTGGTAATTGGTAGGTGTACGTCCGGTTAAGCCAATATGTAGTAAAGTTTTGTATTATGCTTATAAATAAAAAAAGTTACATAAAATGGTTTTTGTGTAAGTATAATATTCATTCTCTATATAAAAGTTCACCATAAAGATCGAAACATTCTATTGAGCAGTATCTTCATTAAATCGGTAAAAAAAAAAATATTTTTTAATAATCGTTCGAGCTTGGATTTAAAATAACGTTTATATAAATTATGCGAATGAATTATAATTAAATTGTTACCTAAAATATTAAGAATATACTCATAATCTATAGATAAGACTGAAGAGTGTAATAGATCTACAATTAATTTGAAATAAATCCATAAACTAAATGTCTATTGTGAGTTACATTCAACTGTAACTTTAAGGCTTGTGACACGTAAATGGCTATAATTAACCAGTCCAACGCGCATGGGCATGTAGTGAAATGACCTATTTTCTTTAGCCTACGTTTTGTAAAGGGTGCAGGGGCAATACATTGCTGTTATACATAAATACTATTAAGAGAACAGGAGAAGCAAATTTCTTGAAATTAGGGACTATGAAAGAAGGAAAATATAGTAGTAGTCATTGCCGGTATGCCAGCTGTTTTGGAACCAAAGGGCTTTTTTAAGGGGGGAAATTCATCGAATGACTACTCCTGCCTGGGTGAGGCGGGAGGGAGTGTCAGATTCTTACTGACTAAAAACCACCCCGTTCCTTCTCCTGCACGTCGAGCCGGAGCCTCGGTTACCCATTAGATTCTCCGCGACTCCGAATCGGCATCGGCCCTATTGGGCCCCATCTGTGGTGGTCTGATGGCTCTTTGAGGCGCGCGCGGAACGCGACGCGCCGTACGCTCGGATGAATCAAAGGACTTGGCGTGCGACGATGGTAAGAGACCTGACGGTATGTCCATTATGCCCTGGAAGCTGGGAAGGTGTTTGGTGTGGGATGTAACCTGCATCGACACACTTGCAACTTCTTATCTTCCAGTAACTGCGGGTTGTGGTGGTTCGGCTGCTGCCTCTGCAGACAACCTCAAGCGGCGCAAGTATAACAACCTTGCTGGTAATTATATCTTGAGCCGTTTGGGGTTGAGACGTTAGGTCCGTGAGGTCCAGGTGCCCATACATTATTCAAAAACATTTCTAAACGCCTGATCGACGCATCTCGTCACCAGAGGGCTGGTCTTTTATCGGTTAGAGGTTAAGCATTGCCATACAACGTGGCAATGCTGCCAGCCTTCTGGGTACATTCCCTATTGACGTCGACGCGGAAGAATTTTTCGAAACTCTGTGTAAATAGTTATTTTTAGTTTTCTTTTATTTATCTTTTTGTATCTTAAGTTGTATATATTTAATTGAATGCATCATTGAATAAAAAACAGCGTGATCATGACAAATGTCAACTATCAGGCTGTTTTGTCAAAAAAAAAACAATATTATGACTGACTGACTGCGTGATTGATCCAAGATGGCCGAGTTCAAACTACGGTCAAAATAGAGGTCCTATACGAAGTTCTGTATTTTAGTTATTGATGTAAAATAAATAAATACGTATTTCATGAATTTAGGAATATTTACCCAATAAGGCATGAAATATGGGTTAAATGTTTAATTTATTATTTAATCAACTTCCACGCGAGCAAAGCCACCGGAAACAGCTAGTTCACTACAAACTATTTCCAGTATAAAATGAACAAATATTAAATTGTGTTTACAATTAAATGCGGTTCCATATTGTGATTTTAGCATACCTTTGTGTTCTGTATTAAAATCATTATTTATTGTTTGTTTGCATCAAAAATGACTGTTGACATATCAATCTTTATTATCTGTAAAATTATACTGTAAATATCAAAAATTAATTGCATTGAGGACTTTGATTCGCAAATATTTAACCCAATAATTTGGTCAATTTTATTGTTGGAATTGCATGATTGCAAAATTTATTCGGATAGTGTGTTAATTAATTATTATAAAGACTGTATAGTTTTCGTCGTCTTTTAGCGACATTAATTCATACAAGTCGCTCTTAATGTAATGTAAAATATAACTTAAAATCTAACCAACAACAGCTTTTACGAAAATGCATACTTTAAGTGAATCTACTTATTATGGTACTGTTTAATAATTTTAATGGATCTACACTCTTACAGTAACGTTCTACCGACCCAAGCGACCTAAAGCTTGCATTATTTTAACACATCGAGATCCCTTTTAACACCTCTCCTTCTACTGTGGATTTTTACGATAGTACACTATGTTCGTGATTGTAGGACGTAACGTAATAAGTAAATGAAATGTTATAAATTTTGTTTAAATTGAAATCGTATGGGATAATGTTGTTTCGTTGTCGCTTGAGACAAAGCCTTGGTCATTGTATTAGCTGCGGTACCGGTTCTGATGTTATCTGTTTATACTTGTTTCTTGGTCTGACTTCCGAATATCTGACTCCTATTCCTAAATATTCAGAAGAGCATAGCAACGTTGACTTTCCTCTGTACTAAAGTGTGGAAATTGTTTTGTTACAATCCTCTTTCCCGAGGCTGTACAGGCAATATAACGCAGGTGCAGGCCAGTTCACGGGAGCATGAAACGAACTATTCGATTCAGATAATTATTTCAAGTTGTTTTCCAAATAGTACGCCAATTTAGAGCGTACTTGTTCGGTTTAATTTATAATTTATGAAAAAGATAACAGTTGTGTTTCAATTTTCTATTCTTTTATCTTGTATACTTCTTTATAATATTCTATTTATCAACCGAATTACTTATCCACGTTGTAAATTTGTGTATGACAATAATTTGATAATGTTCAAAAACGTACATGATTCTTTATTTATCCATTAATCTTATAGGCAGCGTGTCTGTCGTGTGCCACCTACTCACTAATGTGGCTTCTTCTTATACTTACTTTACTGTTGAAACGTTCTATGAAACATAGGATACACTCCCTAGTCAGTGTGAAGCAAAGGCTACAATGTGTCGCAACCAATATCGAAACAAAACGAAGTTATTTTAAAAACGCGCCTGAAAATTGCTCACCCCTACCGAAAGCCGCAGCTGCTTCGAGCGAGTGAGACAGCCACTACTTGCAAGAAAGAGAGATCCAATCCACGTACATGGTGATTACATGGAAAATACTACGCGTGGAAGTGAGACGAGACCAAAACATATTTTACTTTACTTAAAATAATATTTAAAAATCATAAGATGAACTTGCACAATATACAACACAACGAAATAAATTATTCTTGTGAAAAATCCATATGCTCAAAAAAATACAATTAAGTAAAGCAAATATTGTAAAACTTGATTTACTACACACGTGTTTATTAAAACTTACCAACTGCAATTTTCTCAACTGTAAGAGGCTGTGCTGACAGTAACACTGCGTTTAACAACAACAAACCGGCATAACGCGTCGCGTAATAACTAAAAACCACCATTTTTGGAAACGACCTTTACGTGATCTTATATTTTTTTATTTACAAAATAACATAGTAACGTTTATGTTATTTAAACGAGTTTCGTTATTAAATAAGGAATTTAAGGCGATAAAGTGTCGGGATGCTGTGTGCAAACCTGAGACTTAGGGGCGACTGATGGCAAACGAGTGTGGCATGGGACGCGGGGGCTCCTCCCACTCCACCGAGCGCGCTCTCACTTACTCGCTTAACGAATATCCCGACAGCTATGTTGAATATTTGAAAAAGTGTGATAATTATTATATTTTCTAATCACAGTATTTACATCATTAAAGTCGTGTTGAAAATGTCTTAGAAGACATACATATCAAAAGATTTCTAATAATACTTTGTTTGATTGATAAAATAAATTGAAAATCATGTATAATTTTCATTTAATTAAAAATAATGCCGAATTTTTTACCTATTTGGTTTCTTTGTTCTTAAACGTTAGAATATTTGCTTAATAGATGGTGCGCGCGTCGTTCTCCACAGAGATAAGGGTCGACCCCTCCGCCACCTACCCTCTTCCTTGGAGCGTGATCTTCTCCCTTTCGCATTAGCCACAATTTCGACATTGCCATACTGCCACGCGTCGCTCATAGGTTTTTAAAAATATCGTAAATATAGTTACGTGCAAGATAAATGGATGAGTACGTATATTAGTATAGTTGTATAAAATAGAAAAACATTTAACTTATGTATGGTTAAAAATAATGTGTAATAGTTTTGTTGAATAATTTATAATAGAAGAGAGCAATTGAAATCGTACGTAAGGCATAATAATTGTACCGGTCGGTGACTGGTAACGCCATGGCAATGAAATAACATTTTTTGTATTCTAAGCAGATTCTAAATCTGTATCCAAGGGCTCCGTAGCTTAGTAACGAAATTCCCCTATAGGAAAACTAATTTCTTTCAGCTTTAAAGGCGAGTGAAGGTTTATTTATTCGAGATTTCTTCCTTGCGTATTCGTAAGTGACCTACAGTATAAGTTAAAGGGATTGGTTTATTTAAACAGCAATTCTACTTACGAACCTTTCTAAGGAAAAAATAAAAAGGATTTTTTTTTAACTATAAAATGAAGATAGTGAATCATAGTAAGCAAAATGTTACTGGTAGATGCTACCAGTGTCATTTTACTTCATCAGACTTACTTTAAGAGCTCAAAAAATATCAATTGTACATAGATATTAGAGTAATTGTTAAAAACTCTATTTTTTATTTGTAAATTGAAATTCATCTTTATATAATTATAAGAAACTTAACATGCCATTTGCAAACAATACCTTGTATTATCCTAGCTATGGCTAGACAGAAACAGACCAAATCATATGTTATTTAGTCTGTTTATACAAAATACATACGATATGAATGTATGTATCATATTTAAAAAGATATTTATGCCTATCATAATGTTACATAGACATGCTATGAGCGTAGTTATACCATACCGTAATACGGTTGGCGGAGTGCTCGGGTGACCAGCAAAGGGTTCGATTCCGAGTCGGCCAAAAAGTGATATTGGCATTTCCTGAGTAAAGTGCCTCGGAAAGCATGTAAAGCCGTTGATTCTGCGCCTGTCCTCTCTCCGGTCGTGTCGGTCTGCTGTCCCATCAGGTCCAGAGAGTACTGTGTTTGTGGACTATAATATCATCTGCTTAATGGGCTAGTCTGGTTAGGCTGGCCACCGTGATGGAAAATGTCGGGAATTTACCATGACCGTTTGCAACATTATTACTGAAATTACTAAAGTAAGCAATCCTGCAGCTGTAGTCAAATGCCATTTAGCGCTTGTCTACATGTAGGATAGAAAACCAATTATATGGAAATGACGTAAATTTTGACACTTGTCAGTGTCATCCCCATACATTTAGTTTACTTCTACTCTCTCTGTAGACAAGCGCTAAAGTGGCGTTTGGCTAAAGGCACAGGTCTAGCAATTTTATCCATTATCAGAACAAACGAATTGTATGACAAATATTGTTGTTACCAAAAATAAAAATGTAATGCAGTAAAATGTATATTTTTACCTATTATGTGTCTGAAGAATGGTTCAGTAGAATCTTCCAGTACTTTTGCAGAGACTTAACATTCTTTGAATCATGTCTTTCATTTTTCTATTTCCACGTCTAGGTAATTGAACAAAAACATGAAAAAGAAATTGGAGAAAACTCGTGGGAAAACTGGTATACTTTATTTTAGGAATACTTTTAAAACATACGAACGTAATAACTTAATATTCCATATTTAATTTTATAGGGGAGACCTTTATCCAGCAATGGACATCTTCCAGCTGATGATGATGACGAATATATACATAATTGACAACATCATTGTGTTAGTAATTACCTACGAATTATGTAAATGAGTCGTTTAATAAATATTTAAAATCCGTACAATAACATACCCCTTATATTTTGAATAACTGCCATTTGTTTCTTTTCAACCTACGAATATATCTTGAATGATGATAATGTCATAGTATTGTACCTAAAACCATTAGCATAAGAAAAAATAAATAAAACTTCCCTTAAAATAACTTTTAGGCAACGACTAGGAAGTTTAATATCCTTAAGCAGTTGACGACCCGAGTCCCTTTAAACCTTGAAAGCTCAAAGGGGAAATAAAAAGATATTTCCATTGCAAATTTGAGCAAGTTTGATTTTGATCACTACTCCGGGAGAAGCCGACAAGAAACAAGGTCGGGGAAAATCCTAATCTTAGACTTTAGAAAACATTTCCTTATTTAAATTGAACAAATACCATCGGTTTCAGCATTGTAGGTAAACGTGAGACTCCAATTGTATGATAAGAGTTCGAAGGATCAAATGAAAATATTTATCTCGTTTGTAATATGTAAATGATAATTTTTGGATACCTTGAAATGTAAATTATTGTAAATAAACGATTTTAATATTAATTATCTAGTTTTATTGAACAGAACAAATCTACATTACAGCAGTGATGGCGCAGAGAAAAAGTAAAACAAAAAAACAACCTGTCATCTATCATTATATGGAACGCGCCAATTTCAAATTACTACAACACTCTCTCCAAATTGCAGCGTTCCTCAATCTAACTAACAGTTAAACAAGTAATAGTAACAAACAAAAATAAGTACATAGTTACTTTATACACACATACTATTACTGAACAAAGTCAGAGCCAAGTTTTATAAAGTTTCATAAGTATAGTTACATCTTACAAATACCTAATTTATTTCTTAGATATTGAAATTTACTTTTAGCTAAGGGTTTAGTAAATATATCAGCCCTTTGCTCATTACTACTTATATACTTTAGATCAATTTCTTTACTTTCATATTTCTCTTTAACAAACTTATATTTAATATCTATGTGTTTACATCGTTTATGATAATTATCATTTTTTATGACAGAAATTGCACTTTGATTATCAATGTTAAGTTTTACAGAATCCTGATTATATTCATCTATATCTAACAAAAGTCTCTTTAACCAAATAACTTCTTTTGTAGCACTACAGGCAGCCATAAACTCCGCTTCAGTTGTTGATAGTGCTATAGTTTGCTGACGTTGACTGGCCCAAGTAACAGCAGCACCATTCTTAATGAACACATATCCTGTCATTGACCTTCTTGTTTCAATATCATTAGCGTAGTCAGAATCACAATAACATTCTAGTATATTGTCGTGTGAAGGAGTATAGTACAGACCATAATCACTAGTTTCTTTCAGATACTTCATTATCCGTTTTACTGCATTCCAGTGACTACTATCGTAACCATCCAGATATCGGCTGACTAAGCTAACCGCAAACATTATGTCAGGCCTGCTGACTATAGCTAGATGCATCAATGAGCCTACAGCCTCTCTGTATGGAATGTTTCTATCCAGCTGTGATGTATTCTTTTCTAATTTAATACCTGTCACTACTGGTGTACTGTTTCCATTGGCATTAATCATTTTAATTTATTCAGCAATTTCTGTACATAGGTACTCTGATGTAGAAATATGTATTTTTCGCCTTTTTCAATTTCAAGGCCAACAAAGTTTTTAGGTTCACACACTTTTATTTCAAAATTTTCCTTTAAATCATCAATAACTTTGTTTAACACACTTTTATCCTTAGAAATGATTAGTCCATCATCCACATACAGTATCAGGTACACTTTACTACCATTAAACTGACCAGAATAGATACACTTATCTGAGTGACTATTGGTGAAACCAAATTTCTTTAAAACTGAATCAAATTTTTGATTCCAGCACCTGGGTGCTTGTTTTAACCCATATAAGGACCTTTTAAGTTTACAAACATGCCCTTCAGGTACATATACGCCATCTGGTGGATTCATATAGATATCTTCGGTTATACTTCCATAGAGGAAAGCAGTTTTAACATCAAACTGTATCATTTGCAAGTTATCCTGACACACTTTAGAAAGCAATACTCTTACAGAGTCATACCTGACAGTTGGTGAAAATGTCTCTGTATAATCAACCTGGTGTTTCTGTGAGCATCCCATGGCACATAGTCTTGATTTATACAGGAGTCCTGATGGTGTATCTTTCACTTTGAAAACCCACTTACTGCCAATAGTTTTTACTCCATCTGGCTTCTTCACCAACTCCCATGTTTCATTCTTACTGTGTGCTTGCAACTCTTCTTCTATAGACTTTTTCCACTTCTCTTTATCCAGTGATGACAGAACCTCCCGGTAAGTCATTGGTGTCTCATTATTTTCGTGTTCTCCACCTTGACAGAGGTAAGTATTAGTTTCATATTTTCTGTTTCCTACTTTATTTCTTAGAGTTATATTACTAGGTCCACTAATATTTATTTCTTTTTCAGGTACATACTCGGGATCATGATCGGAGAAGAATGATTCTTCATCATCATCGGATAATGTTACAGATGAGTTATTTAACTCTCTTGTGCTTTGATTTGTTAGCCCAATAGATTCATTAATGTTCTTAGTTTCATCAGCACATTTAACA